TTCAAACTGACCCAGCCAAGGCTCAAACCAGCAATCTTCTTACTTTGAGGCAATCATGCTACCCACTGAGCCACCGTGACGCCTGTTATTATTTCTATAACACAAAAAACCCATCATATTACACATTTTTTTAAAAAAAATCAACTTTTTTTTGTCAAATTTTATTTACAATGAAGGAGTCAAGAGGTGTGATTGTACCAGCGTTTCTATGACAGAACAGTGTCAATGTACTGCAAGCATTAGAAACAGGTGTACTACCTAGAAATGTCCTGCCTGCATGTTATTTGAGCAAAAGTGACCAAAATGAGTCCAATATATCCATGAAAATCATTTGTTTTTTTGCGCATGTATGTTCAAATGTTTATTTTTATAAGTATACATTTATATAGATCTAGTGATGATAGATTAAGAATGGTGTTTGAAGTTTTTGATTAATTTTTACTTTGCATTATTATAAATGTTGTTGTTGTTCAGGAAGATGGTCAGTTTAGTATTAATCAATTTTTCACCTATAGAATGATTTCCTGTCAGCATATCAACTTTCTGAACAAAAGAAGCAAAAAAAAAAAACCCAACCACAGCTGGTTTCAGTTTGGCTCAGATGAGCTGCATGCTTCACACATCTGCAGAAGTGACAACAACAACAAAAGACTGCGACTTGTTTTGCTTTCGAAAGTTCTAACAATTAAATAATGTTTTAAAACTTTTAAAAATCCATCAAATCAAGATTTTTATTACGAAGTTTAGCTTGACCAGTGCTAATGACTTTTTCTACTACTTTTCTATTATTAAATATTCAGCACAGTCAGAAATATTGTACATGAAAAAACATATTAAAATTATAAAAATGTATACTTTTTTCCACCATTAAAATAATAAGAGCCAGAGAAGGTAAAGTACATATCATGCATAAGAGGTGTGAATATGATTTGCTGGCAGTCTGAAAAATGCTATAGTGTGGGAGGACTTTACACAGATGAAAACCTCAAGTGCTGGAGCGTACAGGAGTCATCATCAAATGGAAAATGTTTTACATGCTTGCTTTGTTCGGTTTATGCTGGTGGTGCTTGACTGGTAAGTTATAAAATCATTTTCATGGCAAAATTACCTTCCATTTAAGAGCTGTTTTTTCATTTGATGTGATTTAAATCAAACTTTGAAGTTGCTGTGGGATTTTCTCTGAGATTAATGGCTGGTTCCATGAACACAACTACTGTTAAACAGTAGTTACACCAGCTCTGAGTTAAAGAAGGGCTAATCAGTCATGTTTTCCAGATTCAAGTTAGCCCAATCTACCTTTTAGTAGACAAAATTACCGAAAGTCTTTGGGAAATTTTTTATTTTTTCACCCAAAAATGACAATCCTGTCACAATTAACTCGTCCTCAAATTCCGTAGTATTTGTATTTTAAATATGGATGTCAATGGTTCAGGTTTTTTCAAAACATCTCGTTTTGTGTTAAGCACAAATACACTCATAACGATTCATAATCACTTTAGCATGAGTAAATTGTGAGTTTATTTTCATATTTGGGTGAAATATCCCTTTAAACATCTAGTTTTAACACTTTAATATACGTTTGTCAGTTGATATTTAATTGAAGGTTTGGGATATCAATTTACATTGACTTCAGTCTGTAAAATAGCTTATAGGGGCTTTAATTTGTCGCTGATTGTTCTCTAGGTGTGTATAGCGAGTCGTTGTCAGTGACAGAGGGAGATTCTGTCATTTTACACACTTTTGCTACTGGAATACAAAAAGATGATGACATACTGTGGCAATTTGGAGCTGAAAAAAAATCTCTGATAGCTCAAATTAGGAGAAGTGAAGAAATCTTCCCTAATGAGAGATTCAGAGACAGACTGAAGCTGGACAGACAAACTGGATCTCTGACCATCACAGAAATCACAACTGAACAAGCAGGAGACTATGAAGTGACGATCAGTGGAGCAAGACGGTCAACAAAACTATTCAGAATTTCTGTCTATGGTAAGTGAAAAACCATTTTTAATTATTTTAACCAAAACCAATTTTGTAAATATGTCTATTTGTAAAACAAATACAAGTTAAACCATATTTGCAGTATTTTTAAGAAAGATTTTTTAATTTGTTGTCCAAAAAGTGTATTTAATTTTATTACTTAGAAACACATGAAACTAAACAGAGCAGAGGATTTAAGTGCTTTAATGGATTTAACTTGACTAAGTAGACGTGGATGAGAGGAGTCCGGGATTTAGAGGATGGGAAGAGGAGGCTGGGAGTCAACGAGGAGAAGAGGTGTCTGGGATTTAAAGGATGGGAAGAGGAGGTTGGGAGTAAACGAGGATGAGAGGAGTCTGGCATTTAGAGAATGGAAAGAGGAGGATGAGAGTAGACGAGGATGAGAGAAGTCTTGGATTTAGAGGATGGGAAGAAGGGGTTGGGATTAAACGAGGATGAGAGGAGTCTGGGATTTAGATGATGGGAAAATGAGGTTGTGAGTAGACGAGGATGAGAGGAGTCTGGGATTTAGAGGATGTGAAAAGGTGGTTGGGAGTAGACAAGGATGAGAGGAGTCTGGGATTTAGAGGATGGGAAGAGGAGGTTGAGAGTAGACGAGGATGAGAGGAGGATGGGAAGAGAAGGTTGGGAGTAGACAAGGATGAGAGGAGTCTGGGATTTAGAGGATGTGAAAAGGTGGTTGGGAGTAGACGAGGATGAGAGGGGTCTGGGATAAAGAGAATGTGAAGAGGTGGTTGAGAGTAGACAAGGATAAGAGGAGTCTTGTATTTAGAGGATGGGAAGAGGGCATTGGGAGTAGATGAGGATGAGAGGAGTCTGGTATTTAGAGGATGGGAAGAGGAGGTTGGGAGTAGCAAGGATGAGAGGAGTCTGGGATTTAGAGGATGGGAAGAGGAGGTTGGGAGTAGACGAGAATGAGAGGAGGATGGGAAAAGAAGGTTGGGAGTAGACAAGAATGAGAGGAGTCTGGGATTTAGAGGATGTGAAAAGGTGGTTGGGTGTAGACGAGGATGAGAGGAGTCTGGGATTTAGAGGATGGGAAGAGGTGGTTGGGAGTAGAAAAGGATTAGAGGAGACTGGTATTTTGAGGATGGGAAGAGGAGGTTGGGAGAAGAAAAAGATGAGAGGAGTCTGATATTTAGAGGATGGGAAGAGGGCGTTGGGGGTAGACAAGGATGAGAGGAGTCTAGGATGTAGAGGATGGGAAAAGGAGGTTTGGAGTAGACGATGATGAGAGGAGGATGGGAAAAGAAGGTTGGGAGTAGACGAGGATTCGAGGAGTCTGGGATTTAGAGGATGGGAAGAGGTGGTTGGGAGTAGACGAGGATGAGAGGGGTCTGGGATTTAGAGGATGGGGAAAGGAGCCTCGAATAAGACAAAGGGAGAGGAGCCAGGGATCAGGTGAATGGAAGAGGAGCCTGAGCTGCGAGGAAGAGGTGAGGTGCCGGGAATTAGTTGAAGGGGAGAGGAGCCAGGGATTCGATGAAAGGGAGATAAGCCAGGAATTAGGTGAAATGGAGAGGAACTAGGCATCAGATGAAGGGGAGAGAAACTAGAAATTAGAAGTAGGATCAGAAACCAGGGATAAGATGAAGACTATAGGAACCTTAGGTTAGTAATAGTGAAGAGAAACAAGGAATTAGATGAAGGGTAGAGGATCCAGGGATAGGATAAAGAGTGGAGGACCCCAAACATAGTAGTAGGGAAGAGGAGCCAGGGATAAGATGAAGGGTAGAGGAGCTGGCGTTTGGATGAAGGGAAGAGGAGCAAGGGATAAGATGAAGACTAGAGGAGCCCGAAGTTAGTAGTAGTGAAAAGAAGCAAGAAATTAGATGAAGGGTAGAGGATCCAGGGAAAAGATGAAGACTAGAGGAGCCCGAAGTTAGTAGTAGTGAAAAGAAGCAAGAGATTAGATGAAGGGTAAAGGATCCAGGGATAAGATGAAAACTAGAGGAGCCAGGGTTAAGATAAAAAGTAGAGGACCCTGAACTTAGTAGTAGGAAATGGGAGCCAGGGATTAGAAATAGGGCAGAGGAGCCAGGAATTAGAGGTGTGTTTGATTATTGTTGGGGCAAAACAGTGCAGGACATTAACCCTCCAGGCCCGAAGTTGCCAATCCCTGGTTTAGATGAAGATGAGAGGAGTGAGGAATTAAACAAAGGCAAGAGCAGTCATGGTATAGACGAGGACGAGAAGAGCAAAGGAGTAGTTACAGGTGGAATGAACCAGGTTGGAACCTCCAGCACAAATGCTAGGACACAAGCCCACAATGGAGTCAAAGATAGGAGGATCCATCAGGAAGCCTTGGCAGGCAAGACCAGACAAAAGGCCAATTGAGACTGAGCTAGAGACCAAAGAGTAGCCATTGAGCGCAAAAGGCAAGGCACAACAGATTTTTTTCATAAATCAAAGCAGCGTGGTATAGAAGAACAACTGAAGTGAAATCAGAGTGTCAGGGGAGAGCAGAAAGTGGAATGATGGGCTTAGAGAACCTAGGTGGAGCAAACTTGTTGACATTGCAAGGCAGAGCATTCAGGTAGGGACCCCAAGGTTTATCCAAGTGACAAGATTTTGTTGTTTAGATTGATTTACATTTTTCTTTATTGTCTCATGTTTCAGCTGCCCTGCCTGTTCCTGTCCTCATGAGAAACTCTTCTCAGTTTTCTTCCTCCTCATCTTCTTCAATGCAGTATTGTTCAGTGGTGTGTTCAGTGGTGAATGTGAGTGCTGTGAGTCTCTCCTGGTACAAAGGAAACAGTGTATTGTCCAGCATCAGTGTGTCTGATCTCAGCATCAGTCTCTCTCTACCTCTGGAGGTGGAATATCAGGATAAACACACCTACAGCTGTGTGATCAACAACACCATCAGTAATCAGACCACACATCTGGACATCAGTCACATCAGTCACACATGTTCAGGTACAGCAGAACTTATGTTACTATTCCATGAGATCTCAATCTTGTTTAAGGTTAGACTGACCGTTACAGACCAACCATTTTGTCTGTTACAGCTCAGGGCCAACGTTTGCTTTATTTTGTGCTGGTCATTGCTGCTGGATTTCTGTTGTTCGCCACTACCCTAGCGATATGTTGCATCTGTAGGAAATCTAGAAAAACAGGTCTGGAGAGAAATTGTAAATTACAAGTATTCCCTACGATTTATACATTTAAACAAAAATATATTTATACAAATGACATTAACACAACTGTTCTTGCAGATGAGACTGGAGAGGATACAAGATCTAATGTAGTGTTGTGTAAACCAACACAAAAAATGGTAAGATTATGCATGTTGCATTCGGTCTTCCACTAATTGTTTTAAGTTATCGTCAGATGTCCAATTATTGTACATATTTGCATTTGTTTATTTTATGCTATTGAATAGGGTCTAGTTCAATGATGATTGTGTTTTTAATGGGTCTGTGTGAATTTGGGTGGGAGTATGACACTCTGCTACAGCACATACACGTGAGCCCAAAATCCTAAAATATGACAGTGGTCAAACTGGACCTTTTTTAATCTTTTTTTGTCCACTGTGGAAGCAGGTCATCTTTTTTTTTTTAACAAAATAAAAAATGCAAATTCACTTAAATTAAATAATTTTCTGGCTCAAACTTATGCAAGTAAAAGTAGTCTCATGATCCCAAGGTCTTTTCATTTAAAGTCTTCTCATCTTTTAATAAAAATTCCTGTAAACAGCTCTAGTTACTAATACAACTCCTGGTTCAAGATCAGAATGGTGCTATGCTAAAACAATTCATACGCTACATACTGTATATCCCTATAAGTTAAACGTAAAGGAAAAAACAACAACAATGTGAAATATTTTTTCCTGTGCTGAAATCTGGTATTAAACTGCAGCTGATGTCATTTCCTCTTGCTGCAGTTTCTTGGAAATTGTTCTGTGGTAGCAGTAAATCTGAAGTAGTAACCGTTTCTGTACACTAGATGGCATTTCAACATACAGTTCATTAGAACCAAACTGATTAATCATATCATTTACATACAGTTACAAAAAATAGGCTAAAATGCCATCAGGTTATTCAGAAATTAAGATTAATTGGTTTGCTTTGGCACATGAGCAAGACTCATGATTCAATTTGTGTTTCCTTTCAGAAAAAGCCGGATGCTGTGTATCAAAATGTTCCCAAAAAGCGATGACTGCATCTGCTGTATCAACTTTGGGCTTTATCCACATTTATTTTCAATATCTCTGTTTTATCTTTACTATACTGCAGTGGTTCTGAAACTTTTGTCATTCAGTACCACCTCAGAAATAAATTGTCTCTCCAAGTACCACCAAAATGAGCAGTATTGAAATACAGTAGCGTAGTAGGCCCAGTAAAGCAGCTACAACTCTGCACAGTTAGAAAGACATGGCAGATTATCTCAGAAATATAGGCTATATGCCATATATGTCATATTATATACATCATATTTGGTAAGTTTTGAAATGTGTGTAGCATGTGCATGACATATTTCATTCCTCCGCGTACAATTGAACCTGATAATCCACCAAACTGTGATCGTTGCTTCTTAAGGCATGAAACACAGCAGTGCCAGGCCATTGGGGAGCATCTGTAAAGTTAGTTTGTTTGGTGTGCTCCACACAATACTTCAGATGTGGAGCTAGCTTAGAGGCGATTCTAAGATTTGTTAAAGAGGTGGCACAGGGGGTACCAAGAATCAGTCTTGAGGCCCATGTGTATGTATGTATACACACATACACACACACACACACACACACACACACACACACACTCACATACAGTATATAGTGGTCAGACAATGAAACTGAAACACTGGGCAATTTAGTGTTGGAGGTTTTCATGGCTAAGTTCGAGCAGTCTGGTGGCCAATCTTCATTGATTGTACATTTCACCAGTAAGAGCAGAATGTGGAGGTTTAATTAGCAGAGTAATAGCATAGTTTTGTTTATATTTCAATGCACACAACATTATGGGTGACAGAGTTCAAAAAAGGACAAATTGTTGGTGCATTGGTGAAAGCAAGTCTTTGCAAATGTATCAACAGTATCCAGAGTAGTGTCAGCAAACCACCAAGAAGGAGAAACCACACCCAAGTGAAGTAACTGTGGATGCAAGATGAAGCTGTCTGAAAGGGATGTCCGGGTAATAACCTGGATTGAATCCAAAAGACATAAAACTACAGCAGCCCAACTCATTGTAGAATTAAAAGTGCAGCTCAGCTCTCCTGTTTCCACCAAAACTGTTCATTTGGAGCTTCACGTGGTCAATATACATGGCCGGGCTGCTATAGCCAAACCTTTTTTTTAACTCATGTCAAAGCCAAACATCGACTTCAATGGTACCAGCAGCAATAATCTTGGGCTGTGGACAATGTGAAACATGTACTGCTCTCTGAAGAGTCCACCTTCACTATTTTTGCTCTATCTGGGAGAGTTACGGTGTGGAGAAGCCCCAAAGAAGCGTACCACCTAGATGCATGTCCAGAGTGAAGCATGAGGGTGGATCAGTGATGGTTTGGGCTGCAATATCATGACATTCCCTATAGGCTCAATATTGTGCTATATGGGCTGCCACTGCCAAGGACTACCAAACCATTCTGAAGGATCATGTGCACCCAATGTTTTAAACATTGTATCCTGAAGGTGGTGCCATGTATTAGGCTGATAATGTACTATTATCATCTTTAGATAACTGGATTTAGAAGTAGTTTATATGCGTAAGAGATTTACAGTGCGTGTATTCAAGACGTTACCTTTTTTTTCAGTTTTGTTTTGTTTGGGGGATGTACGGAAATCGAAAAGGGGCAAAAGTGTTGGCACTGCTTACGTGTCTTGCAATGTTAAAGCAGCGTAGTAAAATTAATCTTACTCTCCCGTTACTTGTGTTCTGTATCTTTTTTTCTTATGTCTGAGTTTATGTAGCCTAGTTTAATTTTGCATAAAATCTGTGTGTGAGAAAGATAAGATATAAAGGTAATCTGGTGGGTAAAAATAAATCTGTAGTGACTGTTTCTGTACACTAGATGGCGTTTTAACATACAATATATCATGTAGAACCAAGCTGATCATAGAGGTACAGCATACAGGTACAAAATAAGCGAACAATGTTTTTATAACAGTAGTAATAAGTGTAGTAATAATAAGTGAGTAACTATTGTAACCCCCTTGATTACCATATGCATTACTACAATATTTTGAGTTAAAAAAAAAAACACATTACAATTATGTTAAATTATATTATATAGGGGATTTTACAATTGGGGTTACTGAAGTAGATCATTCATTCAGTCATTTTCCTTCGGCTTAGCCCTTTGTTTATCAAGGGTCGCCACAGTGGAATGAACCGCCAACATATTCAGCATATGTTTTACAAAGCAGATGCTCTACCTGCTGTGAGAAACATCCATACACATTGGCCAATTTAGTTTATTCAATTCACCTATAGCGCATGTCTTTGGACTGTGGGGGAAACTGGAGCACCTGGAGGAACAGTGGTGCCCCCAGAAATTTTTTTAGGGGTAGCCAGATAAGTAAATCTTGGGTTGACACACACACACACAAAAAATAATGAATTGTGTATATATTGTGAATAATGAGTAATGTTATATTTTTATTCTCTGGTAAATGAATTAAAGTTTTAATTAATTTCATTAATTTCTCTTGAAATATTGTAATTTATTCCTTGAAATAATTCAGAAATTACATGTACAAACCACATAAAAATCAATATTTAGTTTAAAAACACCTTTCAGTTATTTCTTACATACTTTTATTGTACAACATACGGTATATGACATGTCTAAAATTAATTAAGATTAATTAATTAATAAAATAAACAAATGAACAAACTGAACAAAAGGCATTACTACATTTACACTCACTTTACAGACCCTAATACTATCATGTATTCATGTTCCTTTTTGAGCCACAATGTTATTGATACATAATCTTTTATTGATGTATCTTTTTGCAAAATACACCCACAAAATCATTGAGACCCTTTTAAGTCAACCAGCAAAATAATGGAGTTGCTAAATAAACTAGATTCTAAAAAGCTGATTTCAAAATGCATCGATTTTATATTTATTTATTTGGATTTGTGGTTTTCAATCAGATAAAACCCCTTTTTCATTTCAAAAATAATAATTTGTTAATAAAAAGTGTGCAATCTTAGTAGATCAGCTACGTCGGTGGCCCTGATCAATCCACAATAATTTAGTGGCTGCAGTTTATTTATTATTTAATTCATTTATTTATTGAAATATTGTGAACTTACGCAAGTACATTTAAATGAATAATATCAACAACTAAATCATATTGGGGGGGTCCTTGGGGGCGCTCCTGTGGAGGAAACCCACGCCAACATGCAAACTCCACACACAAATGCTAACTGACCCAGCCTGGATTCAAACCAACAACCTACTTGCTGTGAGGCAACAGTGCTAACCACTGAGCCACTGTGCTGCCTATACGAGTGACATGTCTTGTGTTTTCTATAGTCTTTGTCTTTCCAGTCCAGTTGACAACTAGTTGTGCCAGTGCTGTGACGAGAGACCATCTGGGAAAACAAGAGCCATTTTTCCACTATCAGGCCAAACATTTCTCTTCACTTTACAATCTGTGCTGATCTGGACCAGTCAGAATGGATACGGTTTCATTAATTCCACTGTGATGCTGACAACAGAACTAATTTGAATGTAATACAAATATGCAGCTGCCTTTGTAATGCAAGTGTATTGTAAACAGCAATATGGATTAAGATCAGATATTTCTATTAGTAGGACACGTTATCTGAAATTTACTTAATATAATAACAGAAAAAAGAAATAATGCATTTCCCACACTTGGATCACTATTCTCTTCCCACTACGGTTTACCTCTGCATCAGACATGGGGTCTAATTTAAGTATGTTAATAGATTTAAAAACATAAACGTGAGGAAGCAAGAAGCCCCTTCACACAGTAAACTCACATGCACGAAATGACTCTTCACCTACATGCTGTTTGTCCACTAACAGACCAAAGCACACCTCAGATGAGCGTCAACCACAGCAGGTTTCAGTTTGACTCAGAAGCTAAATACAGAACTGCAAGATGGCAGAAATATTTAGCTTATACTTTTTTTTTTTTTTTTAAGTAAGTAAAAGGCCACATAATTTCCTCTTAAAAGGTATACTGAATTATTTAAATAAAGAAATTAGCACCCAAAACAGTTAAAGATTTAATAAGAAAGATTTTACAGAAGAAACATTTAGTTTGCAGATGGAGCTAGGAGGGTCAAACTCTGTCAGGGGAGGTTTCAAACAGCTTTGGTATTTAATCAGTTTGCATTAGATCAGACAGAACTACTAAAGAAAATGCTTCACATGTTTGTTTTGTTCTTTTTGTGCTGGAGCCGTTTGATTGGTAAGTTACAAAAGCATTTTATAGCTTCATTCATTTCCTAGATCATTTACAGCTATGAAATATACTTAGAATATGAACCGAAACTTTTAAATCTTGGAATAGTTATGCAAATGTAGTTTTTTTTTTTAATCACAGAGAAGAATGGAAATAACCATAATGATTTATTTACAAAAAACACGGAAAGAACTTCTCCGTTAATCATGAATGACTACAACGAATGTGAAAGTTTACTAGACAACACATGCGGAAACCAAGATTGAGATTTAATGAGACGTTTTTTAGGCAACAAACTTGAATTTTGTATCATTTTGATATTGAATATAAGTGGCAGAATTAATCTTGCAGTTTTAAGCCAAAGTTATTATCATATTGCACCTGCATTTGAACTATTTTTTTATTTTACAAATTGATTTTGCTTTGCATTTTAAATATGCAATTTTTAGTTGACACGTATCTGCCGATTTGTTTGTCTCATATTTGCTTTCATGTTTCCTCCTTTTTTCTGTGTGTTTCTTAATTTGCATGTATAAAATAACATTTATTTTATCTTTGTAAACCACCAGTCTTAAAATTTTTGTTAAATGGTTTTACATTTTTCCAGGTGTGTTTGGAGAGTCAGTGTCGGTGACAGAGGGAGATTCTGTTACTCTACACACTGATACTCAAATACATGAAGACAATACCATACTGTGGAAATTTGGACCTGAGAAATCTCTCATAGCTCAAATCATTAGAGAGGAACAAATCATCCCTGATGTGAGATTCACAGACAGACTGAAGCTGGACAGAAAGACTGGATCTCTGACCATCATGAACATCACATCTGAACATGCTGGAGATTATGACGTGAAGATAACTGCTGCAAAACGGGTGTCTAAAACATTCAGTG